TTTTTTTGCTGTGGTGATCAAAAAGGGGGTTGGTGAACACACAACCACCATGTCAGACTACACAGAGAAGCCATTGAAATCCACAAGCATGTGGACAATTTCAACAGAAAGGAGGAGACCATGAAAATGAACAAAATCTGGCTACCAGTATTAAAAAAAACTCTAAAATTACAACAGCAAAACACAGAGAGGAAACAACCAGGCACATCTTAACACCTCTCAACAAAAGATTCCCCCAGGCTCAGCCAGGCCTTCAAATGCTAATGAAGATGGTCAGTTGAAACATTCACACCTAGCTCCAGCAGAGAAAGCTCTTTGCCCCACCCCAGTCATTCCACAGATATATAAACCCATTTTCCTATTTCCAACAGACCTCACTACCTCTGAGGATGCTTGCCATAGATGCAGGCGAAACGTCAGGAGAAATGCCTCTAGAACATGGCCCTATAGCCCGAAAAAACCTACAAGAACCTAGAAAACGGAATGTTGGTGGGCAGGAAAAGAGATTCAAAGATGGGCTCAAATGAGGAAGAACTTCCTGACTGTGAGAGCTGTTCAGCAGTGGAACTCTCTGCCCTGGAGTGTGGTGGAGGCTCCTTCTTTGGAGGCTTTTAAACAGAGGCTGGATGGCCATCTGTCGGGGGTGCTTTGAATGAAATTTTCCTGCTTCTTGGCAGAATGGGGTTGGATTGGATGGCCCATGAGGTCTCTTCCAACTCTAGGATGCTATGAAGACGCAGGTTCGCAGCTTGGGAGTGATTCTGGATTCATTGCTGAGCCTGGAACTCCAGGTTTCGGCAGTGGCCAGGGGAGCTTTTGCACAATTAAAATTGTCCACCAGCTGTGCCCGTACCTTGGGAAGTCTGATCTGGCCACGTTGGTCCATGCTCTGGTTGCATCCCGAATAGACTACTGCAGCGCACTCTACGTGGGGCTGCCTTTGAAGACTGTTCGGATACTCCAACTAGTTCAACGGGCGGCAGCCAGATTGTTAACTGGAGCAACATACAGGGAGCATACCACCCCCTGTTATGTCAACTCCACTGGCTGCCGGTCCACTTCCGAGCACAATTCAAAGTCTTGGCCTACAAAGCCCTATACGGCTCCAACCCAGCTTACTGGTCTGAAGGTATCTCCCTCTACGTTCTGCCTCAAAGTTTAATATCCACAGGGGAAGCCCTGCTTTCAGTCCCACCAGCTTCACAAACGTGTCTAGTAGGGACGAGGGACAGGGCCTTATCAGTGGTGACCCCCCGCTTGTGGAATTCGCTCCCCAGCGAGATTAGATCAGCGTCCTCCCTCCTTTCCTTTAGGAATAAACTGAAATCGTGGTTTTGGAACCAGGCCTTTGGCTAGCAGGTATAACAGCCCTTTGGACACTGAACCCGGACCATAGGACTGTTATGACAAGCGGGGGGCCACTACTGAGAAGGCCCTGTCCCTCGTCCCCACCAGATACGTTTGCGATGCTGGTGGGACCGAGAGCAGGGCCTCCCCAGTAGAACTTAAATTATGAGGTGGAATGTAGAGATATAAGTTCGGATGAGTAAGCTGGGCCGGAGCCGTATATGATTGTATAACTGATGTTGTTGTTTTTAATCTATTATGTATTTATGGTTTTATATTGTTGTTATATTGTGATTTGCTTCATCAAATTGCTGCCAGTGTTAGCTGCTCTGAGTCCCCCCTTTTGGGTTGAGAAATGTTGTAAATAAATAAATAAATTCTGGGCACCACAAATGAATGGAGAAGGTTTCTGAGAGTTGTAGTTCACCGGGATTCAGACAGCATTGAACCCAGGCGACGATGCATCCGGACCAAACTTGGCACACAGACCCAGCATGGCCAACTTTGAATACAGGTGAAGTTTGGGGGTGATTGACCTTCGTTTCTGGGAGTTGTAGTTCACCAGCATCCAGAGAGCACTGAACCCAGCTGACATAGACCGACCATGGTCAACTTTGAATGCTGGCAGTGTCTGGGGAGGATTGATCCATGATTTTGTGAATTGTAGTTCTCCCTAGTCCTTATGCATTTTCTAATGGGAACATTTATTTTAAAACAAAATAAAAAACTGACTTTTTTCCTAATAAATAGCTGGTATTACCTGACATACATAAACAAACAAACTGGTATTACCTGACATACATAAGCAAATAATTCCTCTTTAAAATAACTTGGGTATCGCCGAGTACTCAAGCTAGTATATATGCTAGCTTTAGGACCAGGCTGTTGATAGCCAGCTGCATTAAATCACTACTGACCGAAAGGTCATGAGTTTGAAGCCGGCCTGGGTCAGAGTGCGCTTCCGACCATTAGTCTAGCTTGCTGTCGACCTATGCAGCCCAAAAGACAGTTGCATCTGTCAAGTAGGAAATTTAGGTACCACTTTATGTGGGAAGGCTGATTTAATTAATGTACAACACCATAAAACCTTTCAGCAGTGTGCAGAAGAATGAGGAAATATTCCACCAAGGACTCGGTGTCACAAGTGGAGGGTGAAGCAGCAACTCCTCCTGTGGCTAAAACCAAGCATGCACTCATGAAGCCAGAAAAGCAGGAATCTTAAATTGCCTCTGTGCAGGTACAGCTGTACCAGGAGCTCCAATTTTGTTTGCTTTGCATTGAATGTTTGTTGTAGTCTTAAGTTTCAGGGACTCTGCAGATAGGTGGCTTCTTTTGGCTGCAATCATAGGGCAAGCCACCTGTCAATTATCGTTAGGTTCCCTGGTCCCGCCCCCCTTTTGGGTTTTGGAGGGAATAGGAGCCATTTTGGGTTCAGTCCACACAGAGAAGCCTTTCATGCAGGACATAATACCAAGAGCTCCTGTAGAAAGCTTCGTCTTCTACGGCTTGGCCAGGGAGATATACAGCCCACAGCTTGGCCGGGGTTAGACAGCCCTATAGCTCCTTTGCTGAAGGACTTCAGTCAGCCATCTCGGAAACCTGAATTCTTTTCCCCTTGGAAGTCTACAAAGCTCTGCTTGGTAAGGGTCACTCGCGGAAGCCAGAAGCAGTTGGTACTGGGTGTAGGGGCTCCACGCCATCAGAGGCAAAGAAAGACTGCCCAGATTAGAAGTTAAGGATTTCCCCATTAGTTACAGTTATGAAGATAGTGCCTGTTCCCTGTGGTCAAGATTGAGAGAGAGCCAATAGACTGTTAAGAAAGCCTTAAAGTACCTGTTTGTTTTCATTAATAAAGAACTTTGTTGAACCTTTAAGCAATCTAAAGACTCTGTTTTAAGGAAATCCAAAGGCCTTTAATCTGAGGCAGCCCCGGCGTCCCGTGGGGCACATGTCTTATGTACAGGCCCAGCGTGCGACAGCACAGCCTGTTTCTGTCTGTACCTGTTGTATGTCCAATTGACATTGAATGTTGCCATGTGTATGTGCATTGTAATCTGCCTTGAGTCTCCTGTGGGGTGAGAAGGGTGGAATATAAATACTGTAAGTAAGTAAGTAAGTAAGTAAATATTATATACTAGGCGTCCCCTGCCATGCATTGCTGTGGTCCAATCTGTGTACATGTGTTTTATGTGTATATACATGTATATGTGTCTATATTTGTGTGTGTGTATATATTTGTGTACAGGTGTATATATGTGTGTTTGTGTATATATGTGGTTTTGTGCATGTGTTGTAATGTATTTTTTTTGGCTTTTTAAGTCCCTTCCGCTGTGTTTTCCAATGTTTTTATGAGTTATGGTCACTTGTTGGCCTGATATGTGTATTGTGTCCAAATTTGGTGTCAATTCGCCCAGTGGTTTTTGAGTTATGTTAATCCCACAAACGAACATTACATTTTTATTTATATAGATGACTATATCAAAAGTCACCAGATTTCGTCTGATTTTGGAAGCTAAACAGGGTCAGGCTGGGTAAGTATTTGGGTCCCAAAGGACTTCACTTCTGCCTTTCCCTGAGGCTGAGAGAGTGTCTCTTGCTCCAGGCACACCAGTGGGTTTCCAGAGCCAAGTGAGACTGCAAATTCTGCCTTTCAGAGGGACAGTTCAAAACTCAAAACATTACTCCAAAAGATGCCTTTATTTCTCTCTGAGCATTTGCAAAAGAATACAAGAAAGTGAGTAAATTTCAGTAAATTTCTCTAAAACAAGCACAAAAGAGTTGAAAAGGGGGAAACCAGTGTGCATCCCACATCCCCTGAACTGTTGAAGCGGCGACAGGGCCACAAGGCCAGGACCGGGCTGAACTTGCCAGGTTCTCCCTTAAGGTGTGCCAAAAAAAAAAAAAGGTCCAAGATGACTTGTGTCAGTCTAGACAAGAGGGAATCAATACAAAGGTTAGTCCAGTTTTCTGTTCACATGTGTTTACTATTCTGGTGCCTACTGAGGATTGAACCCTTTCCACCCTCTTGGCATGTGTATTCTTTCTCTCCTGGAGAGTTTTGAGACCTGATTTGAGAACACAACTCTTCCCACCCTCTGCACATTTAGAAACTTCTCTCTTCTGAGATTCATTTCATGCTTCATGGGATTTTTCCTCTGAGTGATGGCTTTACCACATTCCAGGTATTTTCCATGGCTTCTTTCTCATATGGTTTTTTACTACATCGTGAAGCTTGTTGTGGAACTCAACGTTTTCCAAAATTCAGGAATATATACAATTTATCTTTATATTTGGTGAATCTTTGAGGACTGATGTGCAGTTCAAACTCTTATCAAATTCCTGGCTTTTTGCCTTCTCTCCCATGTGGGCCTTGAGACTTGCTCTCCAATGGAACCTCTTCCCGCACTCCAGACATGTCTGGTTTCTCTTCTCTATGACTATTCTGGACATTTGTAAGGTCTGATTTGTAGCTAAAACTCTTCCCACTCTCTCCTGTATGACTCTTCTGGTGAACTCTGAGAACAGATTTAAGGCTGTAACTCTTCCCACACTCCAGACCTTTGTAGGCCTTTTCTTCTTCTAAGCATTTTTATGGCTTCTCTCCTATGTGAGTGTATCGGTGCAGCTTTAGATCCCTTGTCCAGAAGAGGGTTTCTCTCCTCTGTGTTCAATTTCATGTCCAATAAGACTTCTCTTATCAGAATAACCTTTTCCACACTCCTGGCATTTATAGGGTTTCTCCTCTCTGTGATTCATTTCATGCCTAACGAGACTGCTATTTGAAACAAAACCTTTCCCACACTCTAGGCATTTATATGGCTTCTCTCCTGTGTGGGTTCTTTCATGTTTCTTGAGGTGTTCTTTATGAAAGAAACTTTTTCCACACTTCATGCATTTATATGGCCTCTCCTGTGTGGGTTCTTTCATGTGTCTTGAGGTGTCCTTTCTGAAAGAAACATTTTCCACACTCCAGGCATTTAAATGGCTTCTCTCCTGTGTGGGTTTTTTGGTGTGCGTTGAGGATTCCTTTTAGAGGATAGCATTTTCCACACTCCAGGCATTTATATGACTTGTCCATAATTTGGTATTTTTCACTGTGTGTAGGATTTGTATTAGATGCCTCTTGGAAGAAGCTATTCTCAAAGACAGGGCTCTTTCCAATCTCCCCGCTTGCGTCTGTTGTCTCTTGGATTGTGATTTCCCTGCTGTCAACAGGGCACCGGTTCCTGTTATATCCTTCCGATTCCATTCTTGGGCTTCTTTCTTCTTCCTTTTTACTTCTTGCTGTTTTCATCCACATTTTACTTCGAGTTCCCCCATCGTCACTCCCTTGTCCATCGCCACCTTGAAAGAAGAACGACAAAAAGTAGGAAGTCATGCGAAAAGGGAAGATTGAAATCAGTAAATACAGAAATGTTGTGTGTGAGAGAAAAAGAAGAGGTAAGAATCTTATTTATTTATTTCCTGCATTTGTAACCCGCCCTTCCCACCCCCGAGGGGATTCTCAGGGCGGCCTCACAGCAAGCACCATTTGGTGCTGTCACAATTATAAACATTCAACAATACCATTAAAAGCATTGAACAATCAATTAAAACAGTTAGTTAAAAAACAATTAATTAAAAACAGTCAGTTAAACAATAAATTAAAATGTGCCAATTAAAATACCAATCCAGGTCCGAGTCAATTCATTAGCGTGAGTTGTTTAAACCTTCTTCCCACATTGCTGCTATTCAATGGTCAAACGCCTGATCCCATATAGCCAAGTCTTGAGTTTCCTTCTAAAAGACAGGAGGGAAGTGGCCAGTCTCATGTCCCGTGGAGAGCATTCCACAGATGAGGGGCCACTGCTGAAAAGGTCCTGTCCCTCGTCTCCACCCATTGTGTTTACAATGGCCATGGGATTGAGAGCAGGGCCTCTCCAGATGGTCTTAGACTTTGTGATCGTTCATAACAGGAGATATGTTTGGACATGTAGTCTGGGCCAGAACCGTTTAGGGCTTTAAAGGTTAAAACCAGCACTTTGAATTGTGCTTGGAAGCAGACTGGCAGCCAGTGGAGCTGGCGTAAGAGGGGTTGTGTGCTCCCTGTATGCCGTTCTGGTGAGCAACCTGGCTGCCAACTGCTGGACTAGATGAAGCTTCCAGGCAATCTTCAGAGGCAGCCCCACATAGAGTGTGTTGCAGTAGTCTATTCGGGATGTAACAAGAGCGTGGACCACTGTGGCCAAATCAGACTTTCCAACGTATGGGCGCAGCTGGTGCACAAGTTTTAATTGTGCAAAAGCTCTCCCGGCAGCCGCCGAGACCTGGGGTTCCAGGCTCAATGATGAGTCTAGGATCACTCCCAAGCTGCAAACCTGTATCTTCAGAGGGAGTGAACCCCATCCAACACAGGCTGTAACCCTATGTCCTGTTCAGCCTTACGACTGACCAGGAGGACCTCTGTCTTGTCTGGATTCAACTTCAATTTGTTCACCCTCATCCAGACCAACACAGCAGCCAAGGACCTGCACAGCCTCCTTAGTGATAGGAGGAAAGGAGTGATAGAGCTGAACATCACCCACGTACAGATGACATCTGGAGGAGAGAACTTTCCCTCCTCAAAGGAGAACCCCTTTTTGGAAGTTGTTGGATGATCACTCCCACCATCGTATCGTCTATGGGAGGTGATATAACATGCAACCTGAAAATACCATGAGCCACCCTACTAAACCATGTTCAAATAAGCATTGAATAAACATCTTGAGTAGAGTTTTTCTGTTCCTTTTCCTTTTGCATTGGACCTGTCTGAAATCCGCTTATGCACAACAGTGACCAGAGGGGAATTGTTTCTTCCAGCCTGGTCAGGAACCAGAAGTAGTGGCCAAAGGCCACAACTATACAGTAACACTGCAGAAAAAAAAAATTCAATTCCCAAAACTGATTTTTCTTAACCAAGAGGCTGAGGGATTCTTACCCAGAGAAGCCACCATCCTATAATTTTCTTCCATGACTTCCCCATGCAGGGCCCATTGATCTGGATCCAGTAAGGCCCACTCCTCCACACTGAAATGTACAGCCACATCCTCAAATATCACCTGAAAGAAAGAAGTTGGACACACAAATCATTAGTGCTACTTCTACTGCTAAGAAAAATCCTGGTCCATTGAAGTCCGAATAAAGAATTCAAAGAGGTAACTTTCAGCAGTAGTCACACCGTCCTGGGTATTCTAATAACAACAACAAAAACACTTTACTTATATTCCACTCTTCTCATCCCGAAGGAGACTCAGGGTGGATCAGAGCACACATACACGGCAAACATTCAATGTTGCTTTTGTATAGACAATACACAGACACACAACAGAAAGGAGGTGTTGTTGACTCAGTGTCCAGCTGGGGTTTTTTTTTTTTTGGTGCCAAGAAAGGTGACTCCAGCCATTGGGGGTGCTGTTGATCCTCTATGACGAAGAGCCGTCAGGACTTCCTCCTTGCGTTTGGTTGCCCAGCATTTTCTGATCTTCTTTCTTTATGGTGTCATAAAACACCTCCCCCGCTTTTAGCGGTATCTAATTTCTCTAATTACTGCTAAAGCTGCTTAGGTAAACAGTGAGCAGGGCTGACAGTCGACCGCTCACGCTGACCCAGGGCTTCAAACTTGTAACCTCTCGGTTGACAGGTCTTCTAGTTGCTGGTGATTTATCAGCTGTGCTAAACCTCTGTCCCCTAGGTGAGAAGCATCAAGATGGTAAGGAAGTTCATGCAGTCACCTGCAACAGACAATACCAAGCAAGATTCTGGAAAAGATTGTTAAGAAAGTGGTTTGCAAACACTTAGAAACAAATGTGGTCATTGCTAGCCACGTCTGTAATGGAAGAAAAAGGACTTCAGGAAGAGCATTTTGGGATTTCTTAACAGGAAACTTTGGCAGAAGCAGAAGAAAAGCAAGATCCATTCCATATGAAGTAATTGGGGACATTTCTATAATTATCTCCAGTTAATTTCTACTGTCATCTTTTTACCTGATCTTGCTGAATGGATGCCACTTCTCCTGCATTAGAAAGAGTGGAGCTGCCACGTTTTCCCAGCACTCTTGGCTCATCTCCTATGACATGCCAAATAAAGGAAGGGAAGGGAAGCTGGATTTCTGTATTTGTTTTTCAAAGCTCATTTTGAGGTCGCAAAGCGGTTTACAATTTAAACAACACAAAAAGGGAACAATTAATGTCCTCAAAAGAATGGTAAGAAGGAAATGGAAAGGGTTTTATATGGCACAGGCATTCACGAGGTGCAGCCCATTCCGTACAAGACCAGCTTGGAATGTTCTTGGAACATTCTACCTAAATATTTTGGGGGACAGAATAGAAGATCATAAATTTGGGAGATCTTTGGCCAAGAGAAAAAAAGTATCAGCCCCTTTGCCCTCCTCTAACAAAACAGCAAATGAAACATCTATTTGGGCACACAACAGCGGACCGGACTTTTGGGGGACCCTTGAGAGCGAGGACCAAACAAATAAAGACATCTTACCTGGTGGAGACTCTCCTGTGCCCTTCTCCAGCATGATCCGCCCAGAAGGGAAGCCCTGGTTGGTGCTGCCTGGTGGGGCRTTCTGGGCCCGATGCAACCATCTCACCTGCCACTCTTCCTGGAGTGCCTTCCACTCTTCGGCCTGACTCAGGAGGAAGCCTTCAGCCAAGGCCACGGCCTGGGAAGTGGTCTCTGCCCCACATTCCCTCACCCAGCACCCCATCTCCACAGGAAGGACAGCCAYGAACTGCTCCAGGATTACCAGGTCCAGAATCTCCGCCTTTGTATGTTCCTCAGGCTTCAGCCACAGGCGGCAGAGAGAGTGGAGGCGGCTGCAAATCTCTCGGGGCCTCAAGCCCTTCGGGAAGCGGAAGCGCCGGAAGCGTTGGGCCTGAAGGTATGTGATGAAGATGTTTTCACTCCGGGCGTCCTTGCCCATTGCGCTCGGGAACCAAACACATTTCTTGCCCCAGGTTTGGCAGGGCTCTCTTCCTCCTTCAGGGCTGGGCTGGCGTGGTTTCTCCATTTTCGCTCTGGGCTCCATCAGGACAGAAGAACTCTTCCCTTCTCCACCTAACGATATCACGAGGCAAAGGCTACGCAAGACAAAGAGGAGGGGAAGGGTAATGATCTACTCCCCTCAAGAGATAAGGGGTCTTTGGTTGCCTCTGTATGGTTTCCCTGTAAGAAAAGCAGTTGAGAGCAAACCTCATGAACGATCAGTATGGAAATCCCCTTGCATTGCTCTTCCCCTCACCTTCAGCCCCACTTCTCTTGTTTCCCTGTATATTCAGTTCTGAAATTGAAAGGAATCCTGGGAGTTGTAGTGTGGCCAAGTCCTTCGCCTTCTCTGCCCAAGAGTGCTGGTGCCTCACCCAACTCCCCCTCCCAGGATGTCAGACCATTGAGACAATGCAGTCCAAGTAGCCCCAAAGTGCATTTATTCTATGATGCAGATGCCTCATAGCTGAATGTAACATGCTTTTATTGCCAACCACATTTCCCATACAAGCTTGCCTCTAATTTGTCCAACTTCAATCCCTCTTTCCTTAATGGTCTCCTTTCTTAAAGAGCTGGGCATGTTTAGCCTGTAGAAGACAAGGCATGATGGCCATGTATAAATATGAGATGAGAGGTCATAGGGAGGAGGGAGCAAACTTGTTTTCTGCTGCCCTGGAGACCAGGACGCAATGGAGAAATGGCGTCAAACTACAGGAAAGAAAGGAGATTCCAGCTAAACATGAGGAAGAACTTCCTGACTGTGAGGGATTATTATTATTATTATTTACAGCTTTTATATTCTGCTCTTCTCACCCCGCAGGGGACTCAGGGCTGATTACAGTATACACATATATGGCAAACATTCAATGCCAGTTATTGACTTACAAACATATATAGACCACACAGAGGCTATTTAACTTTTTCTGGCCGCCTGGGAAGCTGGGGAGCTGTCGCTTTCATTGTCCATCTGTGACGCCGATGAAGCACTTCCGCATTGTTCTCCGCTGGAATGTTTTGCTGGAGTCTTCTTTTATGGCCTCATAAATCAGTTAATTTGCCTCCCCACTTTAAGGTGGTGCCTTATTTTCCTATTTGACAGATGCAACTGTCTTTCGGGTTGCAAAGGTCGACAACAGGCTACACATAATTGGTTGGAGACCCACTCCAACCTGGGCTGGCTTCGAACTCATGACGTTTTGGTCAGAATGATCTTAATGCAGCTGACACTCAGCCAGCTGCGCCACAATCCCAGAGAGAGCTGTTCAGCAGTGAAACTCCTCTCTGCTCTGGAGGGAGTGTGGTGGAGGCTCCTTCTTTGGAGGCTTTTAAGCAGAGACTAGATGGCCATCAGTCGGGGGTGCTTTGAAGGCGATTTCCCTGCTTCTTGGCAGAATGGGGTTGGACTGGATGGTGGCCCACCAAGTCTCTTCCAACTCTAGGATTCTAGGATTCTCTCCACCCCTTGCCTGGTCCCCCAGTTCAGACCTTGGAGGCCTGGATGCTCTGCCTGCCTCCCCTGCTCCCTGCCTGGTATTCCTGCAGCACTTGCCTCTCTTGCCTTCCCTTTGGAGCCTGAGAGGCCCTCCTTCTCCTGCCAGAAGGGAGGCCAGATTGGGAGAGAGAGGAGGGAGGGAAGAAGGCTGGGAGATCAGGCCAACCCCAGAGCCCATTCCCAGCCTCCTGGCTCTCCTCGTATCCTTAGCTTTTTTGGGAGTTGTAGTCCTCAGCCCTGGCCCCTGTTCCCCGGTGGGACTTCCCTTCCCCTCCCTCTTCCTCCTCTCCCATTCCCCAAAAAACCCACAGAGGGAGGGAAAGGCCTCACCGCGTGGCACCCGGAAGGAAGAGGCGGAAGTAGCTAGTAGAACAACAACACCTACGTCTTCACCCTGCGACTCTGCTGCTGCTACTGGGTCGGGGTTCTCCTTCCGGCCACGCCCCCTTCTGGGCGGGAGGGGGAAGTGTCTGGAGGCCTGGCTCGCCCCCTTTGAACCCTGCGGGACTGGGCCCCTTATTTCTGCCATGGCCTCCTCATCTGTTAATTCCCTCCCTCCCTTCTTTCCTTCCTCCCTCTATCCCTTTATCCTTCCCTTCCTCCATCCCTCCCTCCCTCCTTCCTTCCTTATCCCTTCCTCCCTCCCTTCTTTCCTTCCTGCCTCCCTCCCTCCCTTCCTTCATCCCTCCCTTTTTCCTTCCTTCCTTCCTTATCCCTCCCTCCCTTCTTTCCTTCCTTCATCCCTCCCTCCCTTATCCCTTCCTTCCTCCCTCCCTCTATCCCTTTATCCCTCCCTTCCTCCATCCCTCCCTTCCTCCCTCCCTCCTTCCTTCCTTATCCCTTCCTCCCTCCCTTCTTTCCTTCCTGCCTCCCTCCCTCCCTTCCTTCATCCCTCCCTTTTTCCTTCCTTCCTTCCTTATCCCTCCCTCCCTTCTTTCCTTCCTTCATCCCTCCTTCCCTCCCTCCCTTATCCCTTCCTCCCTCCTCCCTCTTCCCTTTTCTTCCCTTCCTCCATCCCTCTCTCCCTCTTTCCTTTCATCCCTCCCTTCCTCCTTCCTACCTCCCTGCCTCCCTCCCTTCCTTCATCCCTCCATCCCTCCCTCCCTCCTTCCTTCCTTATCCCTTCCTCCCTCCCTTCTTTCCTTCCTGCCTCCCTCCCTCCCTTCCTTCATCCCTCCCTTTTTCCTTCCTTCCTTCCTTATCCCTCCCTCCCTTCTTTCCTTCCTTCATCCCTCCTTCCCTCCCTCCCATCCCTTCCTCCCTCCCTCTTCTCCCTTCCTCCCTCCCCTCCCTCCCTCTTTCCTTTCTCCCTCCTTCTCCTTCCTCTCTCCCTCCTCCCTCCCTTCCTCCCTCTCCTCCTTCCTTCCTTTTCCCTCCCTCCTTCCCTTCTTTCCTTCCTCCTTCTCCCTTCCTTCCTTCCCCTCCTTCCCTCCTTCCTTCTTCTTCCCCCTTCTCCTCTTCTCCCTCCTTTCTCCTTCCTCCTTCCTCCTTCCTCCTCCCTCTCCTCCTTCCTTCCTCTCCCTCCTTCCCTCCCTCCCTTTCCTTTCTTCCTCCTCCCTCTCTCCTTCTCCCTACCTTCCTCCCTTCCCTCCTCCCTTCCTCCTTCCCTCCTCCCTTCCTTCCTCCCTTCCTTCCCTCCCTCCCTTCCTTCCTTCATCCCTCCCTCCTTCCCCCTCCCTTATCCCTCCCTCCATCCCTTCATCCCTCTCTCCCTCCCTTCATCCCTCCCTCCCTCCTTCCTTATCCCTCCCTCCCTTCTTTCCTTCCTGCCTCCTTCCCTCCCTCCTTCCCCCTCCCTTATCCCTCCCTCCATCCCTTCATCCCTCTCTCCCTCCCTTCATCCCTCCCTCCCTCTTCCTTCCTTATCCCTCCCTCCCTTCTTTCCTTCCTGCCTCCTTCCCTTCTCTTCTCCCCTCCCTCCCTCCTCCTTATCCCTTCCTCCCTCCCTCCCTCTCTCCCTTCATCCCTCCTTCTCCCTTCCCTCCCTTCCTCCTTCTCCCTCCCTGCCTCCCTCCTTCCTCCTTCCTTCCTTCCTTCCTTCCTTCCCTTCTCCCTCCTTCCCTTCTCCCTCCCTCCTTCCCTCCCTTTCCCTCCCCCTCCCTCCCTTCTCCCTCTCTCCCTCCCTCCCTCCCTCCCTTCCTCCCTCCCATCCTTCCTTCCTTTCCCTTCTCCCTCCCTCTCTCCTTTCCCTCCTTATCATAGAATCATAGAATCAAAGAGTTGGAAGAGACCTCATGGGCCATCCAGTCCAACCCCATTCTGCCAAGAAGCAGGAATATTGCATTCAAATCACCCCTGACAAATGGCCATCCAGCCTCTGTTTAAAAGCTTCCAAAAAAGGAGCCTCCACCACACTCCGGGGCAGAGAGTTCCACTGCTGAACGGCTCTCACAGTCAGGAAGTTCTTCCTCATGTTCAGATGGAATCTCCTCTCTTGTAGTTTGAAGCCATTGTTCCGCGTCCTAGTCTCCAGGGGAAGCAGAAAACAAGCTTGCTCCCTCCTCCCTGTGACTTCCTCTCACATATTTATACATGGCTATCATATCTCCTCTCAGCCTTCTCTTCTTCAGGCTAAACATGCCCAGCTCCTTAAGCCGCTCCTCATAGGGCTTGTTCTCCAGACCGCTTGATCATTTGAGTCGCCCTCCTCTGGACACATTCCAGCTTGTCAATATCTCTCTTGAATTGTGGTGCCCAGAATTGGACACAATATTCCAGGTATTCCGAAAGAGCTGGGCATGTTAAGCCTGAAGAAGAGAAGGCCATGTATAAATATGTGAGAGGAAGTCACAGGGAGGAGGGAGCAAGCTTGTTTTCTGCTGCCCTGGAGACTAGGACGCAATGGAACAATGGCTTCAAACTACAAGAAAGGAGATTCCACCTGAACACGTCAACGACTTAAATCTAGAAATAGTTTTCTAAGATCTACAGAGACACTCGCTGGAACACCTCAGCAAGCGAGAGTCTAAAAGTGGCAGGCTCAAACCCAGAACCTCAACCCACGGCTGATACCAAATGAGAGACTCCCCCCTGGGCACACAGAGGACTGGGAGACTTGGAAGGCACTGAACAGACTGCGCTCTGGCACCACGAGATGCAGAGCCAACCTTCAGAAATGGGGCCACAAAGTGGAGTCGGCTACATGCAAGTGTGGAGAGGAGCAAACCACTGACCACCTGCTGCAATGCAACCTGAGTCCTGCTACATGCACAATGGAGGACCTTCTTGCAGCAACACCAGAAGCACTCCAAGTGGCCAGATACTGGTCAAAGGACATTTAATCTACCACACTCACAAATGTTGTAATTTGCTTGTTTGCTTTGTTCTGTTAGAAATGTAATATAATTTGACTGGTTGTTCTGACACGACAAATAAATAACCTGAATATTAAGAATAACTGCCTGACTGTGAGAGCCGTTCAGCAGTGGAACTCTCTGCCGTGGAGTGTGCTGGAGGCTACTTCTTTGGAGGCTTTGAAACAGAGGCTGGATGGCCATCTGTCAGGGGTGCTTTGAATGTGATTTTCCTGCTTCTTGGCAGAATGGGGTTGAGACTGGATGGCCCATGAGGTCTCTTCCAACTCTAGGATTCTATGAAGACGCAGGTTTGCAGCTTGGGAGTGATTCTGGATTCATCGCTGAGCCTGGAACTCCAGGTTTCGGCAGTGGCCAGGGGAGCTTTTGCACAATTAAAATTGTGCACCAGCTGTGCCCGTACCTTGGGAAGTCTGATCTGGCCACATTGGTCCATGCTCTGGTTACATCCTGAATAGACTACTGCGACACACTCTACGTGGGGCTGCCTATGAAGACTGTTCAGAAACTCCAACTAGTCCAACGGGCGGCAGCCAGATTGCTCACTGGTGTGCCATACAGGGAGCATACCATCCCCCCGTTATGTCAACTCCACTGGCTGCCGATCCAATTCCGAGCACAATTCAAAGTGCTGGTCTTGGCCTACAAAGCCCTACACAGCTTCAGCCCAGCTTACTTGTCCGAATGTATCTCCCTCTACATCAGTGGTTCTCAACCTTCCTAATGCCGTGACCCCTTATTACAGTTCCTCATGTTGTGATGACCCCCAACCATCAATTTATTTTCTTTGCTACTTCATAATTGTAATTTTGCTACTGTTATGAATCGTAATGTAAATATCTGATATGCAGGATGTATTTTCATTCACCGGACTAAACTTGGCACAAATACCCAATACGCCCAAATTTGACCACTGGCGGGGTTGGAGGGGTTGATTTTATCATTTGGGAGTTATAGCTGCTGGGATTTAGAGTTCACCTACAATCAAAGAGCATTCTGAACTCCACCAATGATGGAATTGAACCAAACTTGGCACACAGAACTCCCATGAGCAACAAAAAATACTGGAAGGATTGACCTTGAGCTTTGGAGTTGTAGTTCACTTACATCCAGAGAGCACTGTGGACTCAAACAATGATGAATCTGGACCAATCTTGCCACAAATACTCAATATGCCCAAATGTGAACACTGGTGGAGTTTGGGGGAAACAGACCTTGACATTTGGAAGTTGTAGTTGTTGGGATTTACAGTCCACCTACAATCAAAGTGCATTCTGAACCCCAGCAATGATAGAATTAGTCCAAACTTCTCACACACAACCTCCATGACAAACAGAAAATACTCTTTTTTATGGTCTTTGGCGACCACTCTGACACCCGCACAGAGGACCCCTCGCCTGCCTCGCCCCCCTCGCCGAATGGCGGGAGAGCGGGGCAGGCGAGGCGGGCTTTGCGCGGGGCCAGGCCTCAGGTGAGGGAGACCTTGCCTGGCATGCGCCCTTGGGGCGGGGCCAACAAAAATTGTCTTGCGACCCCTCCAAAATGGCCAGGCGACCCCCCTGAGGGCGCGACCCTCAGGTTGAGAACCGCTGCTCTACGTTCTTCCTCATAGTGTTAGATCCACCAGGGATCTCGGTCCCACCAGCCTCGCAAATGTGTCTGGTAGGGATGAGGGACAGGGCCTTCTCGGTGGTGACCACCCCACTTGTGGAATTCGCTCCCCAGCGAGATTGGATTGGGGTCCTCCCTCCTTTCCTTTAGGAATAAACTGAAATTTTGGTTTTGGAACGAGGCCTTTGGCTAGCAGGTATAACAGCACTTTGGACATGGAACTGGACCATATGATTGTGATAATAATGGAAATGGCTATAGGATTGTATAACTGATGTTATGGTTTTTAATCTATTATGTATTTATGGTTCTCCCTAATCCTTATGCATTTTCTAATGGGAACATTTATTAAAAAACAAAATCAAAGACTGACTTTTTTCTAATAAATAGCATTAAAAATTACCAAACTGGTATTACCTAACATACATAAACTAATAATTCATCTTTAAAATAACCCGGGCATAGCTGAGTACACAAGCTAGTATACATATGATATATGATAGCTAGCTGCATGAAATCAGTACTGATCGAGATGTCATGAGTTTGAAGCCAGCCTGGGTCAGAGTGAGCTTCCGGCCATTAGTCTAGCTTGCTGTCGACCTATGCAGCCCAA